CGTCCGCGGTTTCGGGTGCCACGCGATGTACTGGCGGGGCAACGTTTTTGTATTTTCCTGGCAATTTTCCGAGAGGAGTCAACGCTATCTGATTACATATTCGGAATCCCCAGTTCAAAACAGAGATTTTCATCTTACTTAGACCGACGCAAAATGAGTGTAGGTATATTTAAAAAAATGTCTAATTCCGGCCGTCCTCGGTTTCGGGTGCCGCGCGATGTATTGAAATGGCACCATTTTGGTATTTTCCTCACAATTTTCCGAGATGATTACGCTATCATAGTACATATTCGGAATCTCTAGTTCAATACGGTGATTTTAATTTTACTTAGAATGACGCTAAATGATTGTAGGTATATTTAAAAAAATGTCTAATTCCGGCCGTCTGCGGTTTCGGGTGGCGCGCGATTAACCGGTGCGGCACCGTCCTCCCACGAGCTCCTGACCATTTTCCGAGATTAATCGACCCATTCTGATTACATATTCGGAATCTCTAGTTCAATACGAAAATTTTCATTTTACTTAGATCGACGCAAAATGATTGTAGTTATTTTTAAAAAAATGTCTAATTCCGGCCTTCCGATGTTTCGGGTACCGCGCGATATACTGGCGGGGCACCGTCCTCCCAAGAGCTCCTGACCATTTTCCGAGATTAATCGACGCTTTCTGATTACATATTCGGAATCTCTAGTTCAATACGAAAATTTTTAGTTTACTTAGACCGATGCAAAATGATAGTAGGTATATTTAAAAAAATTGTCTATGCCCGGCCGTCCGCGGTTTCGGGTCGGGTGCCACGCAATGTACTGGCGGACCACCACACAATTATTTACGAATTTACTATTTTCAAACTTCCGACCGTCATAAACATGGCAATTTTGAAGATATCAACAAACTGTAAAGATCAAAGTTGTTCAGAAAAAATAAAGAAATCGAAATCCGGTCTCCAAAATAGTGGTTGCTATTTAAGAAATTTTTATTTTACTGCGCATGCGCTGATAAAAAAAAATTTGAATTTATTAAAAAAATATGTATTTATAAGTCATATATTCAGTAAAAAACCCCGAATCAAATTCAAGGTCACACGATCGAAATATTTCCTGTTACCTTTAAAATTGAACACACGGTATATTCGTTTAGTACAAGTAGGTGACTAAACTCCAATACTAGTAAAATATTAGTATGATAACAACTGAATATACTACAATACTGTTTATGCAGAAAATCATATTGGGGTAAAATGGCCTAGTGGGTTTTGGGGTAAGAGTGCGCAGTATATCTTATATGATAATTGATTACCTACCTACTTTTATAAACATTTAATTTTTCTAGGTAGAAATTGAATTAATTATATCTATTTATTTATTAATTTATTTAAACTAATAGGTACATTATATCTCCGATGTATCAACAAATGATTAAATAATATTATGCAATATTTATTGAATAATTATACTTAAAAAAATTACTTCGACTTTGTATTTACTACTAATACTGTATTAATTATATATTATATTAGGAACTATTATGCAATTATACTACGCATGCATATTATATATATTTATAACTTATTATTTGATAAAAATAAAATAGATAACATTCTTCAGTAAAATAGATTTTTATGAATTAATTTACCCCAGTAGGTGCTCACTTTTACCCCAATAATGGTTTAAAAAGACGCATTTGTTATAATTTCTAATTATTCAGATTTTTGGTATTTGCTTTGGTAAAATCAAATGTTGACCTGAAAATTGAAATCTGTGTAATATTTACGATATAGGAAAACAATATAACAATATTTCTAAAACGTGTATGCTACCACATACCAGCTGCTAAATGTTAGGTGCGCTATTATACCCCAGGTTACTCTATTACATTAAACGTATCACCCGGTATGTGTTATTTTTTTCACTATCATAATATACGATAAGATCCGTCGTAACTGTTATTCGTAATATTCGTATACGTTTGGAATTGGATACTCTCACGTATATTTTATTGTTAAATACGTGCAATATGTTATGTGTAACGCGTGCGCCAAAAAACGTGCCTGCGGTCACGCGTATCGTCTTACGAGCCCGATTAAAAGCGACAGGGACCGTCATCCGACTGTCGGACCAGTCCAGAGCTGTAGCTAGGGCTTGGCGAGACTGGCCCAGGCCAGGGGCGCAACGAAAAAGGGGCGCGAAATCCAGAATAAAATATACCTTACAATATATGTATATACATATGTTATTATTATTTATTGGTATTCTTAATAATTTACATTTTACTAGAATATGCACAAAATAGTTTTATTACTATAAGTACATTATAGTGATTAGTGACTATATACCTACTATTTTATAGTGTAGCCGTGTAGGTATTGTATATTATACAAATATTACAATTATTATTTACAGGTGTTTAAGAATAATAACTCATTATCATATTACGTAATATTAGGCCCGGGTACCCGAGTGATATTTTAAGAACAGTTAGTAGCCGATAATAGTGTGTTTTTATTTGTGTTGATAGTTGTTTAAACTGCTGCTTATACAACCATCTCGGCACGCAAGTCAATTATCAACATGGTAGTTTTGAAAATCGATCATTATTATTAAATATTAGCTGCATGTAGTTAAAATTAGGATTCTAAATTTATTATATTTTAAAGACTCCCTTAGTCCCGTCAGTCGTCATATTTATAGGTAGGTAGATACTCCTATTTCAATATTTAGTCATTTTATATTAGTCAGTGAAAGGAAGAACTTCCACAACAGTTCTACGGTGAATTCCTAATTATTATTAATTATAATTATACAAAATTAAATTAATTTACTTAATTGTAGTTCATAATATATTAATATAAGAATTAAGTTGTAACCTAGGTTTATACAAAATAATTGTTTATAAGAATGTAAATAGTAAATATCTAGTAGGTATACTGGTATACAAGAAGTCACTATTAACATTCGTTGGTTTTTATCGATCAAATTTGAATTTAAGTAATACATTAAGATAGTTTGTTCACCGTTCACCTATTTAAAAAAAATAATACGTTTATTCAATTAATTGATTAATTATTTTAAAATCCTCTAAATCTTATTTGGAGTTAAGAAAAAGAAATAATAATTAATATTAGTCTAATATTGTCTTAAAAATTATCTTCACAGTTCACACCAAGTATCTATTTTACGAGCCCGATTAAAAGCGACAGGGACCGTCATCCGACTGTCGGACCACATAAAAATAAACGTTTATCCCAGTGTTTACCGCATATTGTATATGGTATTTGCTCACTATGTATATAATATTATGTACCTAATGTACCTGAGACCGATGTAGGTGACGTGTAAAATATACGGAAAGACTATAATGATTGATGACTGTGGAAATACGTGAAACAAAAGTAGGTAATTTATTTTAATTTGTACCTTAAAACTCTACATTGATTATATTAATACCCAGCTGCAAAATTATATATATTGTATTGTATATCTTTCATACACATATCATAAGATGTATATTAGGGGTTTTTATTAGTACCTATATTCAGTATTCAAATAATAAAAATCTAATATTCAGAAAGTCAGTTGTATAGTTCCCGAGTTGTTACGTTTAATGGGCCTGATAACTCATGTTTTCGTGCGCCAGTATTGTAATTCTCCGTAGGACATAATATTATGTATCCACCATATGTAATTATTTGTAATATTTATAATTATTTTAATTTTTTTAATTATATTTAATTTTTAATTATTCAAATTATATGGCTGTAACGAATTAAGTATTTTACCTGTAATTTTACCCGGTCGCAGTTTACATGTCACCTTTTTACTCTTGATAAAAACTCGGGCGCAGTTTACGTGTGTGATTTTGTATTTACCTGTATTTTGGGCGCAGTTTACAATCGCCGGAACTATCTAGATGATTATTGGGCATAACAATTTTGTAGTAGTAGGTATAACCAATTGATGAGCGATGTTGTACTTTTGAAAATACTTTTTAGGGTGGATTTATTGGAATGTTTAAATGCATCTATGTAAATGTGACTAAGTATTTTAAAGTATGTATTTCATGTGTGAGTGTGTCTATAAGTAACGAAATATCTTATATTGATATGTAAGTTTTATAACAAGATTAGATGTGTGTGATGATGTATATAATAATGCAAGTACCTATTTATGCATGAATGCTGTACCTATATATGTGCCATTTATGGAAAATAAATGAGTATATATAATAGAATAATATGAAAGTTTTATAGTATGTTCAGGTGTTAGTTATAAATTATAATGAATGTTAAGCCGGGTCCACACTAGGGCGAACATTGTTGTCGAACATGTTCGTTGAGAATGTTTCACCTAGTCTGTACGTGTATGTTTATTTTATCTTTAAATGAATAAGTATTTTTGAATAAATAATTACCATTTAAAAAGTTTAACAACAATGACTGGTTATTGATCAAGCTTACCTGCAGCTTACCTATAAGCCTGCTTTAAGTATAGGTAAACGCTGAATTATTATTGTTTTATTTAAAATATAAGTAAAATAGTATTATATCGAATTAATTGGGTAGGTATATACTATAAGTACATTATTTCAAGTAGTACGTATTTGTTCAACGTATTGCACATTCGAAGTTTAAGTATTTAGAAATTAATAATAATAATATTAAATACATTCATCGTTCCACTCAGAAAAATATAATAGTAAAAATATTTATATTATTGCTGTAGTGGAGAATTATTTAACGTTTTGTAACTACATTTATACGTACATTTATACGTACATATTACTAAATTTAGCTCAATTTCGTGCCACTTTCACATATTTTATTCGTACAGGGAAATCCAAAATTGAAGAACGATCTTTCAAATTATTTTAATAATAAATCTATGTTTATAATGTTTATTTTATATTTGCGTGCATTGAATTTCCAATTCAATCGTCAGTCGTCACTCGTATTTTTCCACGGTGTGAACGTGTTGTGTTAATCTACAATCTACTTATCTAAAATGTCCACCGAAAAAGTCTGGAATCAAGATGAAATTCTCAAGCTTATAGATTTAGTACAGCAGAGTGAGAATATTTGGAATCCAGCTCACAACCTATACAAAAATCGGATCCGAAGGACGGATTCAATAAATGAAATTGCTAAGATCTTAGGTGTTTCGCAGCAAGAAGTCGACAAAAAATGGAAGACGGTTCAGTCCCAGTTTCGTAGGGAACAGCATAAAGTAAAAACTAAAAAATCTGGAGCTGGAACTGAGGATAGTTGTACAAGTGCGTGATATTTGTATAGGCCATTAAGTTTTTTGTCGGATAGAAACAAACCTAAAAATACTAGAGACACTTATGAAGCAAAGGTAATAACAACTTTTTTTAAATAATTATTTAAAAAACAATGAATTGATAGTGATTATTAGTTAATATTTAATAGAAAAATAGATAATAGACAATACTTCACTAAATACAAATTAAGAATAGAAGTAGGTAATTAAATAAAATTTATTCAAATTCATCTTGCCAATGTACACGCCCTGTAGTTGAAAAATAATGAGCAAATCGTTCACGAGTTTCGTGTACAGCTGCTGCTGATTTTCGTCCACATTTCTTTAATGGTAAAAATGACGTGGTTTCCGACGAATCACTTCTCCGGTTCCTTTTTTTTAAGTTCGATTTTCAAAATCTTCGGTGTCAAAAATATCTGGTGGACAATATAAATTTTTTGACGACTCACTCCGTCTTAAAAAATTATGCAAATGGACGCAAGCCAAAACAATAGTATTTATTTTTTCTGGTTGTAGTAATAACGGTTTTCTTAAGACTCGAAAAACCGAAGCCATTATGCCAAAAGTATTTTCAACGACACGTCGTGCCCTTGATAAACGATAATTAAAAGATCGCTGTGGTGAACCTCTCAAATGAGTCCCGGGAAAAGGTTTCATTAAATTTTCCTTCAATGGAAAAGCATCATCGCAGACAAAAACATATGAAGATTTTTCTTGTTGTCCTGGAAGTGCTTTTGGAGATGGTAGGTTTAAAGATTCATCGTAAATTTTTTTTGCCAAGATGGAATTATTAAATACTCCTCCATCTGATATAATACCTTGACACCCAACACTTGCAAAAATAAAACAATAATGTGCGTCCACTGCTGCAAGTAGAACAACACTAAATGTCCCCTTGTAATTGAAGTATTCAGTGCCACTATTAAAAGGTGCTTGCATTACGATGTGTTTACCGTCAATGGCACCTACACATTGTGGAAAATTCTATAACTCATTATAGTCATTTGCTATTATTTCCTATCCATTTGGTGAATTAGGCATCTAAAAATAATTATAATTTTTTTTTATAGTTTATTGTAAAATATTGTTAAAATAATATTGAGAAATTATTATATACTTTTCTGTGTTATAGCCCTCCCTTCCCCCCCCCCCCCCCGCCAACCAAGTAAAAATAATTATATTTATTTTAAATACATTTCAATATTGCAATGTTTTAGATTTCAAATTGCAGTAGATAATGTTGTGTTTTTTAAAATGTTACACGGTGGAACATGTAGAAATGCCAGCTTAAACTTATGAAACTTCCCTGTAAAAAGGTGCTCAGAATATTATACAAATATGCGTATGTATATAATATGTGAGTATCTAAATATGTATGAAGATGAACTAACCTATGGTTATATGAATGTATGTGCATGTATGTGCTAGGGAAATGGATGAACGAAACTCATCGACATCTGTAAACGGTTGCCCATATATGTATATACCTAGGTATATTACGTATATTTCTGTATGTTGTCAGGTATAGGAATGTGTGAATGCAAACGAATATCTCTATAGGTAGGTACTTTAACGTGTATATTTTGAAAAACATAATTTTTTAAAAGTTTATGTACGTGTGTGTTTGAGATACATTCCGGTGTATAACGTATCTATGCTTTAGCGATTCGTTTTTTCGTGTGTAATTATATAATAATAAAACTGTATACTATTTTTATGTATGTATGTATGTATGTATCATGTAGTGTGTATATATATATGTGTATGAGAGTTCATATGTAATTGAATGAATGAAGGACTGGGTGGCTTGTTTGTGTACTATATGCATCGGCGTAACTAGGGGGGCTAGGGGGGGGGCTTAGCCCCCCTAGAAGGTTTTACATTTTAGCCTCAAATCGAGTCTAAAGCTAAAACCCAAATCCGAAAAAATAAGAAAAAAAATGTTTAAAATAACTCATATGTCATAACTCATAATAGTCATAATTAATAAATATTTTATACATATTGATATTGTTTTATTGTGGATGTACAAAACAAATTTATAAGTAATTGGTTACCTATAGGCAGGGGCGGATTTACCCATAGGCCACCAAGGCACGTGCCTAGGGCGCAATATTTTTTAAGGAGCAATTTTTTGGTTAATTTTTACTTTTTAGTTTCTCATAATTTCATAATTATATTTACCTAAATTTATATTTTATATTATTTTTTTTTTGTTTATAACGTGTATGAAACTGGAGAAGGGCTCACGTAGTCACGTTGCAGTAACGTTTTCATTTATAAGCTATAATAACCTTGCCGTTTGAGTTCAATCCCGCGACCGGCGAGCGCCGCGCTGCCGCCTGCCACCGCGGCACCGCTAGAGGTTCGAGTGTTCGACATCGACGACACTCGACGAGGCAGTTGCCGGTGTTGCCTATGTTAATGCATAGGAGCCAGGAGGTGATATACGGGTGTGTGGCGTAAACACATACAATATTGTGAATGGCGCATGCACAAAACGCCAGCCAAGGCAGTCAAATATACTGCCTCAGGCCGCCGGGTACATTGTATCTAGCCGCTCTACTAGCTAAGTAGGGGACAGCTCGCACAGTGCTTGGCAAGTAAATTATTTGATATTAACTGGAATGACCCGCCTTACCCCGCATCCGGCGCCAAACTAGTCTATTCTTAGAATACTGGAATTAATTCTGGAAATCAGACGTCTTGATAAAGTAATTAATAATAATAAACATTGCGACGACGAGTGATGCGCGACGCTGGCACTGTCGCCCGTCTCCTGCATAGTGCATACAGCTTAGAAATCTGCTAATCGATTACCTACGATTATAGAGACTAGAGTGCTCACCACTTTAATCAGTACCTACCTATAGTTTTGTTTTAATTCACGGAACATGGTCCCCCCCCTCCCGTGGGAGCACGTCAATGTACGGAACGCCCGAGCGCTAGTGTTGTAATGCCTAGGGGCGGAAAAATGGTAAGTCCGCCCCTGCCTATAGGTAACTATAGTTATAGCGGAAGAAATTGTCTTGACGTATTGTATTGAGTCAATAAATACTAATGAGTAATGACATATCACAATATATAAATTATTAGGTATTGTTCACATATGGCTAAATATGGTACATTAATTATTGAATGTACGACGCTGGTATGAGACTTATTATGATTGTTTATCAGTTAAAAGTTTTACACAAAGTATTTATAGGATTGTATTGTATGTCCCGAAGACCAAAACCCTCTTATTATATTTGTTAACTTTAAATAGGTACCTACCCGTATTAGCGTATTTTTGTATAGTCATATTAGTTATATCCTACAGCAGTTACTGGTTAGTGATTATAGTACTATTATATAATATTTTCTAACAATTCTCAATTAACAAGCACTTTGCGACATGCGTCTGTGCAGACTGCGAATAGGTATTATTATTTACTGGTATTAGTGTAGTGTACTAGACAGTGTCTCAGTAACAACTATTTTTTTTTGCGTATATGTTAAATTTATTGAATTTACCCATTACCTATTTATTAAAATGTTCAGCATATTTAAATCAAAAGCAAGTAGTGCTAAGAAAAATAATAATGATGCACCAAAAAACTATGACCCAAAACAGATTTAGTGATCTGGCTATCACTATACTTAATATAGAAAGAGAACTATCTAATGTAATAAACGATGATGATATTTTAAAACTATTTTCATCAAAATATAGGCGTATACAGTTATAAATTATAATGTAAATTTGTTTTTTTTGACTAGGTTATACTTTGATTATATGGTGTATTTTAAATTTTGATTTTAGAGGACTCTTGTGATTACTAAATACTAGGGATGCTTAGAGGGGGGGTGTGGGGGCAAAGCCCCCCACAAATTATCTTGGACTTGGGTTTTCTAGGACTCTAGCCCTTGTAGCTATTAAATCCTACTTACGCCCATGACTATATAGAATACTGGAATCGATGTATGTTAGTATGTATGTATGTATGATATAGTCGATACAAATGTACATCAGAATATTATATATTTTAAACACTATGGATAAATCGTTCTTAGACATGAGTGGTGGGTATGTAAACGAATCACCTATTCGGTAAATGTTTGTACATTCTTTCCTGCCATTTTCCACTGATATCCGTATCAATATAGCTTGTGGAATAAATACTAATAATAATAAATATAAAGTGTTTTGTTTTTTCTATATGGTATTATAATATATTATACAGTGATTTTGACAGTGTATGTATAGAAATCTTATTTCACAATAATACAAGCAACGCGCAATGATATGTTGTGTAACTATATAACAACGTATACATATATATATAGTATATTATATTATGCCTAGTGGACTATTTTTCCTATATCCCTGGCCGGCGCGGCGGTCGAATGAACCGTGTGGAATTCGGTGGACAGCAGCACATCAATAGTTTGTATAAGAAAACATTGCAGACCCGTCAATTTCTTCGAGTCTGATCGGCTGAAAAAATAACGTAGGTATGATATATTATAATTTACAATATATCTATATATCTATATAAAAATGGAGACAAAAATTCGAAATTGCATCAGTTGAGAACGGCTGGGCCGATTTTGCTCAAATTTTTTTTAAGATGTTCGTAATTGCCAGGTGAAGGTTTTTACGAAAGAAAATTTTTAAAAAGTCAACCGAATAATTAGAAAAACTGCAAAAACTATTTATTGATGTCTGGGATTTAAACTCGATACCGTTGTCTTTATTTACGGTTAGTTTTTTCGGTTAGTTAGTTAACTCGGACAGTAAAATTAAATTTTTATGAGCGTTTGAAATTCAAATTTTTACAACATTGGATATTCACTCGATTACTCATGTAGCGATTTCCTTATTTTGTTGCAATTCAAAAACGAACAACTGTAGATACATGAAAATTTCACTGAATGTTTAAATTAGCATTTTCTATACACCATACAATTTTGAAAATATTTTGACTCTTTTTGAGCTGTTTATGGACATTTACAGC